TTTGATATTTCATAGATTTTCATGTCAAAATGCCATCATCAGCCCACTACATACCACTGGCTACCTCTCAGTATAGAGCTGAGGACCGCCAGAGAACAGAGGGGTTGAGTAACCCTGCTCCACGGACTTCATTTCCCATTAACCTTCACCACACTCCTACTCTTTTTTCCTATGCAATCTGCTCCAGTTCACTTGGATTCTGATTTGATTCACCTGTGACTTTGCGAGTATAAGCTCTTTGTGTTTGTCTCGAACATGGATGCATCCTTGACTCTGAGCGCCGTCTTGCCACCTTGGCAATGTGTTAGCTTCGCCACCTCGGTAATGAAATTGCTTTGCCTTTCATTACTTTCAACTCAGTTTTTCTAGTCAAATTCTTTGCCTTATTTGTTTCTTTGCCTGGCTATTTTGTGGACACTGCTGTAGACTGTTTTTCACCTGGTATAGCCTATTTTGCCTATTTCCAAATCTCCTTTGTACCATGCACATGCTTCTGCTCCATAGATTTACATACCTAGATGCCGCGTTTGGACCTGCCATTTTAGGGCGGTCAACATCGCTGCTGGACTGCATTCAGTACCATTACAGAGCAGCAGTTTAAGAAAGATACTGTCCAAAATTATAATATTTCAGGAATATTGCTCTCAGACAGTGAGATAAGATTATATAACGGAGGGAACGTGATGCGTATTGTTTGTGTGGTGTTATGTGTAGATATGGCTGTGTGGTTAATGAGGCACAGAGAACCTGTTGATGTGATTGTTTTTCCTCTGGTTTTATATTAAGCTTATTTCATTTAATAGTCTATTCAGGAGATCTTAACTGTATATAGTAGTTTATTTACAATGATGGTTAATCCTTTTTAACTAGGCAAGCTATAGCATTCCTTAATCCGTGTAGATAGATAGATAGATAGATAGATAGATAGACAGATAGATAGATAGGTAGGTAGGTAGATAGACAGACAGACAGATAGACAGATATATAGATAGAACTTTACTGATCCCAAAAGGAAAATGCAGTGTTTCAGTAGCAAGACATAGAGTTGCACATAAACTTACATATACTATGCAGAAAAATTGAAAATAGAAATAAATCTAGACATAAGTTAAAGTACAAGAGAAATAATAGATTAGCGTTAGCACCCTGAAGTTGGCTTCTTATTTGCCAGCATCTTGTTCAAATTTTCCCGTTCCACCTTAAATGGTGCAGCTTCAGGCACCAGAAAGTGACTGCTGTACCATTTAAGGAGGAACAGGAAAACTTGAACAAGAAGCTGGCGAATAGGAATCCAACTTTAGCTTCGTCCTTCTTGCTGTGTTTTGGGGGTTAATTTTATTTTTATGTGTATTAAGATTAGAGGTGATTCACACATTGATGGATTTGCTGATGTGTGTCTGATTATGTTTCTCGTGCTAAACTCGGTTTTTAACATCTTTTTTTAACTGAATACTTTCCTGCTGGTCCAGACGGCTAATTATCACGATCAGTTATTAAAGTAATAAAGCTACCGAGAGCAGATCCGTGCAGCCTGGATTAATCTGTGTCTGAGGATTATAACAAAACAAATTAGGTGAAAATCGGTTGAGTAATAAGGAAGTTGTGGCTGATTTAATCCTGAGACTTTTCGTCTCTCAGTACAAGTGAATTTGTTCCCAAGTGGATCTTGACCTCTCCAACATGGCGGACACGCAGACGTATCGTCTCAGGTAGAGAACAACAGACAACGCGGCATCTAGGAATGTATATCTATGCTCTGCTCCATTAACCAAGCCTGACACATGTATGATCACATCACCCAAGGCATGTGCTTATGTAAGGCGTGAGTACTGCCATAGTCACCCTTTCATCTCTAATCCAGTGTGCTAGAGCACTGGGAAAAAAGGAAAACTGTCACTGTTCAATTACTTAAGGACTGTACAAGATGGCCATAGTTAGTGGTTGGTGCCTACAAGGTACATTTCCAAGTACACGCCCAAAAACATGGCATTTTCAACTGAATACTGAAGTAATGATGTAATGATGGCTTACAGCATTGTATTTTTTCACTTTGTAATAAGCATAAACAATTTTAAGTTGTATGAAATTCATCATTAGTTTTAGCTCTGGCTCCAGCATACAGCAGATATTGGCTTTCTCTCCATTGTTTACTACTCAAACATAAGAAACCTGCATGTTTCTTTTTTTCTAAATCGCTTGCAAGCCTGTTATTTTCGAGACGCTTATTAAGCCTGGTCCTAAACTCCTAAAACGATTTTCAATGGTCTATCTGCATTTACAGTGCAATTTACTTCCAGACGTTGTTTTATGTGTGTCCAGAGAAGCAGTCCTTAATATTTAACTGCGTCTCTGCCTCGCTACTGCACAAACAAACAGGAGTTGTGGTGATACAGTAATGCTGTAGGCAGCTTCTGCATGCTGTTTACCAACCCAGAGACCCAGTCTCATCTCTGAGGAGGGTCAAAGGCCAATGAGAATCTATTAGAAGCAAAATAATTTCCATAGAGTCAAAGCATGAACTACTTAAAGAGAGGGCCAAAGCAAACTGGCTCGGGTTTGTCTTTTCTGGCTCCCGAGGCTAGCCGCGATGTCAGAGAGGTTTATTTAACTTTAATCAGGCAGCAATAACCAGATTACATCTTCGTTTGGTCATTGCAGGCTGTCAAAAATGGATTTCTGTTTTTCTCCTCTGTAACTGGAGAGGAGCAGTCAAACGTGAAGAAACTACGGTCAGCTGGTTAGTTGGAAGCGGAAGGCTTGAGTGACGGCCAAGGAGAGTAGCGGAGGGAAGCTAGCTAAGTGGTGTTGCTTGTTTTGGGATACTGTAAGCTTTTTGGCTGTCAAACGTTTGATCCGAACTACCAGCGCACAAACACCGAAACAGAACACATACCAACACCTAGAAACCCTCGGCCTGTTCTCACACACACACACACATAAACCCATGTGGTCTCCATTTCCTCTGTAAGCTAACCCAGCCTCTGACAGGCCTAGCGGATAGTTTCCACTCCACTGAATCAAAGCTCAGTTTTCCCTCAACTCCCAATCAATGCCGTCCCCAATCCAATCTCCAGTAGCTCCCAGCCAGCCCTTCCCATCAGTTTATACTGGCTGCAGATCCAGCATTGATTACTCTCATCAAGATAATTAGCCCTCATATCAGACAGAACGCATGATGGATCAATTAGCTCATCTGCTAATGAAGGACACACTTCAAAAGTTAAGTCTGAAGGCTTTAGGATCTCAGGCCTGCTGAAACTCCTTTGATAACCGATGGATTGACTGTTGCTTCTTCAGAAGAAGTTCATTTCAAAAGCTAGGCCTTTCATAAGAGTGAGTCATTGTGGAGATAGCGTTAGCGCTTTATCTCGCCCGTGGCTGAAACATCAGCGCAGCTATGCTAGAATGATCCACTGGTTTATTGAGCCGGGAGGTATTGGCTCACTGTACAGCTCTACGCTGACTAATAAGGTCATGTAATTAAGTCAGACATTCAAATGCCCATTAACACAAGGCTAGCGCGTTAGCTACGCTAGCAGAGCTTCTTTAAGTGAAAAGGGTAGCGCCCTTGATTCTTTTTCACTCAGAATTAGGTTCACAGTTACAACTGGCCAAGCGCTTGACAGAAAATCTATCAAGGGTTTTGCCTTAAGCACAAAAGGATAACGGTAAGAGTGGAGGACACTGCTAACTTTCTTTTCTGGCCATATTTGTACAGAGTGAGTGTAGCATGAGCCTAATCAGCTTTGTGTCTTTTAAAAGGCCTTTATATGCAGTCATATTTCATTCTTACATGACCATTTTCCAATTTCTCTTTCCCTCTTAGAATTGAACAGACTGTTTTTCGTTATTGTGCCTCTAACCTCTTATTCTCCAGGGTATATTTTGGTTTTTCCATCTGAATTTACGTGACCAAATCATAAGGCAGATTATTCAGTAACTGCATGAAATAAATGTAAATTTTTATTCTATTTATTTATTTTTTTGGCAAAGAATGGCCCCTCAAATTAACAGAAAATGTGTTTTATGATCATACACATATTACTATATGCTTACAATTTACTGCTGAAAGCCAAAAATCTTAGACGCTCTGTATTATTTCATAAAAATAATTTGTACAGAGCAGATCACTGAAGAGACGCCATCTGTTTATAGTTTATAGCCCAGATTTGTGGAAAAATGGGTCAAATTTCAGCAAACAAAAAAAAAATTGTGAGTTCAGCTTCTTTTATTATAAGGGTTTAAAATTACATCACCCATCTATTTGACTGGAAAAAAGACAGTTACAGCCTCATATGACCCCCACCTTTAGAATGTAGCTTATAAAATATGAAAGTTATGAAGAATATGACGAAGTGTGTTTTGGAACCACCGGTGGTCTTTGCAGCTTAGTTTCTCTATTTGAACTGTATGGACTGGAGAGTAAATGGTGCACCTTTAAAACTTTAACAATGTGTACAAACAACATCAAACATTAAGCCAGTGTTATTTTATCCACTACAACATTCACTCATCACTGTAAAATGTTAACAGGGCTGAGAACAGGTGGGAGATGATTAGCACAACATGGCTGTCCAAAGAAAAACGTGTCTCTACTTTTGTTAATTTTTATTTTCTGAATAATCTGAACACTGCAGTTGTACTTTACACTGTCTGAAAATTTCATGATAAATGGACCAACAAAAATGCTCTAAAATGACTTGGAATAACTCTCTTTACATTAACTTGCATTGAAAGCTAAGAAGATTTCTTCCCTTCTCCTGTAAAGCTGCCAGTCACTGTTACCAGTAAAAACCAGTGACTACTGTAAGAAGCATCATCATGAACATTAAGCTGTTAAATAATCTCAGACTTGCCTTTGTGGTTTATGACAAAGCTGTGTTTGCAGATGAGACTCAGGCCACAAGCTGCAGTAACTGGATACACACTCACACGCAGAACCTTTGATAAGAGACCCTGTGTTTAGAACCGCAGCTTCAGCGAGCTCGGCTCCCACTCACCGATGAAGCCAAGCTGGGAAAATTCTAGAATCATCCACTCCTCCGAAGGCTGCTGCAGGGCGAAGTTCTTCATTGTGGTGAAGTAATTCGGCCGAGCGACAATGTCATCCTCTAGCTGAGGGGAATAGAGAGAGAGAGAGAGAGAGAGAGAGAGATGTTAAAGAGAATGCAGTCTATTGAAAAGAGCATCTGACTCAGTTATTTGAAAAATCATCTTCATCTAGTCAAGCACATTCTTTTATATTCATCCTTAGCCTGCGCTTTTGATGACTAAATGACTGAACAATAGTTGTAATTCAGCCATTGAGAGAAAGACACACACTGCACTGTGCTGGAAGAATGGGGGCCATAAAACAAGAGATGCGTGGGAGAGGAAAGCGCTCACAGCGCCTCGCCAGAGAGATGAAGCGATGGAGGGATGAATGAAAGGATGAATTCAGAACAAAAGCAGAATGTTCCCGACACATTGCTGCAATCGCCCAACATCAGCCATATGTTTACTGGACTCATAACCGCTGACTTACGGAGTGATATGACACTGTGCACAGAATAACAGATGGCACTTATGGAATAACTGCCTACTGTCCACGACAGGCCAGTGCAGTAGAGCTCAGGACCAACGTGTGTGTGAGTGTGTGCTCTTCTGAATTTGCTGCGTGTGCTACCGTTCAAACGTTCAGAATTACTCGTCATATTAATAACTTTTGCTATTTTATAACAATGACTGCATACATTATAATTTACAATGCAGATTTAAATATAGTAATCAATAAACTGAAGGTTTAAATGTGCTGGGAAATGATCAATAATGTATTACAATTACAATTTACAATTTTGTTTTGTTAAATAAAATGATCCACAATTTTATCACCACTTTTTACATACGAGCCATTCTAGACAGTGATTTGGGTAACACTTTATTTGGAGTGGTCCTTTGTAGATGATTAATAAACTCTTAACAGAGTATCAGTAACATATCAATAACATATCAGTGAAGTAGCAGTAGTGAAGCATCTGAATACACTGAAGTAAATATCTTGTAGATGTTCTGTTGATACATTACTTACATTAAGTAGATGTGTTATTAATATGTTACTTCCATTACGCAAAAGGTTAGACCATTACTGGCCCTAATCCTAACCCTAACCTTATCCTCAACCCAAAACCTAGTCCTAACCCTCACCCTGGCCCTAATCCTAACCCTAACCTTATCCTCAACCCAAAACCTAGTCCTAACCCTCACCCTGGCCCTTATCCTAACCATAACCTTAACCACAACCCAAAACCTAATCCTAATCCTCACCCTGGCCCTAATCCTAACCCTTACCTTATCCTCAACCCAAAACCTAGTCCTAACCCTCACCCTGGCCCTAATCCTAACCCTCATATGTTTTTGCTATGTTACTGAGAGTCTGCTGAGTGTTCCATCTAAAATGACGACTCAAAATAAAGTGTCACCAGTAATTATAGAATTCATCTTCATTTTTGATGCTACAGTTTTCTTAGACATTTTAGATTTGTATACACATATATACACATAATATACATGCATATTTTATACGACTGCCTGCAAATTGGTTAGAACCTATTAGCACAGAACTAGCATATTTACATTTCATACAAGTATCTATAACCAAATCATAATTTTTACATTACTGAAAAGACTGACTGAAAACTGAAACAGCAAAGTCTACAACTGTATGCAAAAATTTGGGCGCCTCTGGTCAAATAACATGAAAATAAGTTACACTACACTGTCAGAAATAAAGGTTCTGTTCAGGTACATGTTTTGTTCATCAAGGTACAAACAGTGTAAATGTTTCCTCAAAGCTACATCAGAGGTTTTAAGGTCTGATTGTGAACCTTAAATAAGTTTTCCCAGGTGAAAAGTTCGTATTTGTACCTTTTCATAACCGAATGTTTTAAAACAGAACAGTAAAATAAAAGCCTGGAGACGAGACGGGGTGTGTGGAGTCAGTACAGCTTAGAACATATCATTTCAGTGGATTATGGTTCAGTTATGTTCCCTGACTAAAGGTACTGAGATGGACCCTTGAGGCTTCCACCACGGTGACAAGAGGGGCACTGCCCCAGTGACAGTTTAGGACCTTTATTTCTGAGAGTGTACAGAGAACACACTTCTGCACATTTACTGTTTAACTGCTAAATTTTACATATTAGGGGAAAAAAAAGGGAATATAAAGCATAAAATGTGGCCTGAACAAAAGTTATGACATTTTATAATTTTTTTTTTTCTAAATATGTTCAAAAATGAGAAATTGTGCACTAAAATGAGCAGAAAAATGGCATATTTAAGTGAGTTCTGTGTGTTTCACTTACAAAACCAACAATCACGTCATCTGACCGAGGGTGTTCAAACTATGCAGCCGCAAGTGTTTACGATTTTAATTTACTTCACTGAGTCTGAGATTGACAGTGTGCACATTTACACTCATCCTGTATGAAGGACTACATGTGTGTTTTTTTTTTCTGTGTGTGTTTGTTTGGTCTCCCTCTTTAAAGACTGAACCGCTTGCTTTAGGCGATGCATTAGGACAGACTGGAGCGCAGAACATAACCCCAGTGCCAGCTTTATTACGTTCTCTTTCAATACATTTCACTTTGAAGATCTTTCTCGGTAAAAGCCGGCCTCGGTCACAAGTCAACAAATCACTGAGTGAAGACACAAGGCGCCTGTTATGCGAGCAGCTCAAAGCAAGTTCACATAAAGGCAAAGACGGGTAAAAAAAAACGTTCTGCTAATCCTCTTCGGTTAACATCTGACTCTCCAGATCCACGACTTCCTCTGGAAATAAACTGGAAGTCATTACTGCAGCCCTCAACACATAACTCGCTGTGCGTTTGAGTGCCTGTGTGTGAGTGACGCCGCAGCTGGGATTAACATACAGTGACTCCTTTTTACTGCTTCTACAATAGGAAATGTCAAACTATTCTTAGATGAGCCCGAGACTGTAATGTAAGCAAAATGTCATCGAAGACTCTCATATAAACACTCGTCCCATGTGGGGCCTTTAATTTGAACTTAATATCGCTTTAATGTACGCTGGTTATTTACTGTTGACCACTCTACAGTCCCACCGTAAAAAACTATTTAAAAAAACAATTAATTATTCAGAACTTAGATATTTACAATGATTATGTTACAACCCAAATTCTACAAATGTTGGGAAGCTGTGTAAAATGTAAATAAATATAAATAAACGCATCTCAAAAAAGCTGGGACAGGGCCGTGTCTACCATTGTGTAGCATCCCCTCTTCTTTTAACAACAGTCCATAAACATCTGGGAAGTGAGGAGACCAACTGCTGGAGAGGAATGTTGTCCCATTCTTGTCTGATGTAGGATTCTAGCTGCTCGACAGTTCTGGGCCTTCTTTGCCAGATTTTTTGTTTTATGATGCGCCAAATGTTTCCTACTGGTGAAGCTCTGGACAGCAGGCCGGCCAGTTCAGCACTCTGACTCTTCTTCTGTGAAGCCATGCTGTGGTGATGGATGCAGTTTGTGGTTTAGCATTGTCCTGCTAAAATATGCAAGGCCTTCCCTGAAAGAGACGCTGTCTGGATGGGAGCATATGTTGTTCTAAAACCTCTATATACTGTTCAGCATTGATAGAGCCTTTCCAGATGTGTAAGCTGCCCACACCATAGGTAACAATGCAACCCCATACCACATTGTGCCTTTTGACCCAGAGAAGACGGTGGTGTTTCTGGATCGTGTTGACATATGGATTCTTCTTTGCATGATACAGCTTTAACTTGCCTTTGTGGATTGCACGGCGAACTGTGAACTGTGTGATTTCTGGAAGTGTTTCTGAGCCCATGCAGTGATTTGCAGTGGTTTTTAATGCAGTGCCGCCTGAGGGCCCAAAGATCACAAGCATCCAATACTGACCCGTCAGCCTTGTCCCTTGCGTACAGGGATTTCTCCAGATTCTCTGAATCTTTTGATGACACTATGTACTGTAGATGGTGGGATTTCCAAAGTCTTCCAAAATTGTTCCACAATTTTAGACACAGTTTTTCACAGATTGGTGAACCTCTGCCCACCTTTGCTTCTGAGAGTCTCTGCCTCTCTAAAATGCTCTTTTTATAGCCTGTCAGGTGAGTTAGTTGCAAATTGCTCCTCCTGCAGTTTTTTAATAGTACCACTTACTTTTCCAGCCTTCTGTGGCCCCGGTCCCGACTTTTTTGCTGCCAAGAAGTTGTAAATGAGTTAAATGTTTTTCATGAAATGGTAAAATGTCTCGCTTTCAACATCTGATATGTGTCCTGTGTTCTATTGTGAATAAAATATGGGTCTATGGGAATTGGGGCTGTATAATTCATTTAACCCAAGGTATTAATTGAGATAGTAATAAGCTAAATATACACACAATCATCATTTATAGGATACTTTCTATTGAGAGGTGACTGTCCAAAACCCTAAACCCTAAATTTCAACTTGTGCAAATTTAACTTGCTTTTTTTTGTATTTTTCATTTATTAAAGATCTTTTTGTTTTCTTTTAAAGTGAACATGTAAGTTGAAAAGTTTAGATTTACCATGAGTTTGATTTTTAAATAGAAAACAAATAAAAAAAATGCTGTCCCATGTTTTCATGCCACTGACAAAACACAAAGTTTTTGTCTGTAGGCGGAGCCTTATTTTAGTCACACCCCTGCAGTTTAGAGCTGGAAGTGAGGCTGCATCAATGCCCCTCATGGCCACATGGTGAGCAGTTAGACTCCATTGTTTTGAAGTAAATGTGTCCCAAAGTCTGAAAATCAGTGTGGAAAATTAAAAAATATCACTACCAAAAAAAGTTATACTTTTAGTTATTTAGTTTATAACTTTTTGTATTTTAATAAAAAAAGAAGTTTTTTTATATAGCACCTTTTTATATACAGCTGTCATTCAAAGTGCTTTACAAATGAGAAAATACCGTCAGAAAATACAGTTGTTTATAAAGTAAACGCGAATAAAGAAACATAAATGAAAACAACATTAAAACATGATTAAAACATTATTAACACAATCAATTTAAAAGAGAAACTCATTAAATTAAAGCTCAAATTAGAAATTAAATTAGGATAGTTTAATAATCAAATTAAAAACTAAAAGTTACATTAGGATAAGAAAAAAACTGTTCAAAGCAGTGTTTGCTAGTCATGTACTGGCTAGTATTTTTGAGTTACACTCAAAATGAGCTAAATGTTCCCCACTGAAACATCTGGCAATGTTTGTCACATTGAGAAACAAAAATATGACAAAGGAGATCCTGAACTGTTGAGCAGCTGGAATCATCTTTCAAGCAAGAATGGGAAAATATTTCACTTTCAAAACCTCAGTTCCCAAACACTTACAGAGTGTTGTTAAAAGGTGATGCAGCACAGTGGAAATCATGCTCCTATCCCAAATTTTCAAAGTGTGCACATATTTTCAAAAAACAATAACATTGCTCACTTTTAACATTTGATATGTTGTCTTTGTACTAATTTCAATGAAATATATGGTTTAAATGATTTGCACATCATTGCAGTCTGTTTTTAATTACAATTTGTACAGCGTCCCAACCTTTTTGGAAATTATGGGTTGTATTATGATGGACTACGTATGCCAATTTAGCAAGGCTGATACTTGATAATTAGGTATGTTATTATATAACATCATCGAGGTAAAAAATCTTTTGAGTCTAAATAAAGACAAACTGTGACCTACATTCATTTGCATGAAAGTTCTTAGTCGATAACCTTCTAAATTGGCCACCCTCTCCAGCCTAAACTGGACGTAGACCACAAGTAAGTAAATGCTTTAGTTAATCTGCTCCTATAAAGTGCAAATGAGAAGCAAAAATTCAAGCTGTATCATACAGACATGTGAAATACGAGCGGACAATATGGCAAAAATCACAATATCTGAAGACATTTTCACTACATATACGACCACGATGTAGTTGGTCAGTTGGTCTGTGTTTTTAGCAACCTTCAATGTCTATGATATGCTCAGAAAAGACTATCATGGCATAGTTTACAGTGATAGTTTATAGTGATACAGTGATGATGATATCATCATATCGAACCACCCCTAGTTTGAAATATCGTAACACACTGAATAGCTGCCCTGCAAATTTAAATCGACTCATATTGTGGCAAAACCCAAAGTTTACATGCTGTAGTTATGAGTAAGTCATTTGAGCATGCAGATGATGGCTTACCTGCACATAGTAAGTTCCTTTGGACTGAGCGTACATCATCAAGAAGCAGTAGTCCAAGTTCTGCTTCGTTCTCCATCTGCAAAAGAAAGAAAACAGAGGAGATTATTAACCCTTGTGTGGTGTTGGGGGGTCTGTGGGACCCATTTTCAATGTTTACAAAAATAAAAATTATGTCATTTATTAGTATTCCAACCTCAGATTCTTGGCCTTTGCTCATTTTGTGTGAAGAACATATAAAATAACCCATTTTCAGTATCTTCACTCTGTTCACCCCCCACACATTTATATTACACATGTGGTGTTGGGTGAACCTCATGTGTGGAGGTGCTGTGTCCTTCACTCTGCTCTCCTCCTACATGGCCTGCTTTGTGTTAGTGTGTGTGTGTGCGTGTGAGGGTGGACAACATGAGCAGGCTGCTGACTGGCTACAGCTGCTAAAAAAACAATCATGTGGTGGGTCCACCAGACCACTGAGTAACAAACACATCAACACCACACAAAGGGTAAAAACTGTGTGTGGGGGCACAAACATATACTCACACACACAGACATAAACATACACAAACAAACACACAAAGAACCACAGACACACACAGGAGATTAAAAAAAGACTCATGCAGCTCTTACACACAGTTAACGAAGCTACTATTGTTTGTGTCTCTGTGTTTACTGTGTGTTTATGGTTCGTTTACACTCTATAATCAGTCGTGTTCTTAGCAGAAGCAAAGAACTGAAGACAAAGGAGAAAACTGAACACAGCAGACTCTGCTGCAGACAGTAGTTCTGTAGTTTGTGGCTTACTGCATAAAGTAGTCACACAGTGGTGCTGGAGCAGAATAAGGATAGGTATACCAACAAACCTCACACACACACACACAGAAACAGAATAGATATGCACACACACAAACACATCGGCAAATTTTGACGTTTCCTTTACTGATTTGGTTTTATCAGTATTTGGTATGTTCTGCCAATAACACACCAATAAACCCACTGACTCACAATTCTAAGTAAAGCCTTAGACAGCAGTGCCACTGGGACGCACTATGACTCACCCCTGTTTAACTATTTACAACAACACAGGCTGAACCGGTGAATCTGAACACAAAACACCATCATGATTAAGATAACAGAAAACATGTCAAATTGATCCTCATACTAAAACTCCTGTTTGAATATCCGAAAAAAGACTTCTTTAAGAAAAGAACTAAGGACAATAATAGAAATCGGAGGATACGGACTCCCCACCTCCAGGGCTACAACATCGGTTATTTAACATCGCTGAGTTTCTGCTGTTTGAGTTTAAGAAGTGTGACAAAGGAGAACTGACCATCATGTCAGTCAGTGAAGTCTTGTTTAACTACAATTACTGAAGTAAATCTAAAATGATAAATATGTACATAATAGATATATACATACATATACATATATTTTGACGTTGTCTAAAGAAAACCATGCATCTTCATTTTTGTCTATTTTTATTTTTCTACATGATCTAAACACAACAGCTGCTCCTTTACGGTGTGTGAAAATTTCACGATGAATGGACCAATAGAAATGCTCTAAAATTACTATAATAAAATAAAAAACTGATGATAAGTTAATATCTTTATTGGAGATACTTGTTTTTCTTTGGACAGCGACAATATAAAATACATTTATATAATAGATATAACAATAAATTGATGAAAAACCATATAATCGTTGTGTTATTTGTTTTATTGGTTTCTCTTTATCTACTGTTATGACTTAAATTGAAGTTGATCGTATTTTAGGTCACATTTATGCAGAAATTCAAATTATGCATTATGCAAGGGGTCATAAACACATACATTTTAACCCATTTCACCCTGTTCTTCAGTGGTCAGGACCCCCATAGGACCACCACAGAGCAGGTACTATTTGGGTGGTGGATCATTCTCAGCACTGCAGTAACACTGAGGTAGTCGTGGTGTGTTAGTGTGTGTTGTGCTGGTACAAGTGGATCAGACACAGCAGTGCTACTGGAGTTTTTAAACACCTGAGGTTGGACTGAGAACCAAGCAACCAAAAATATCCAGCCAACAGCGTCTTGTGGGCAGCGTCCTGTGACCACTGATGAAGGACTAGAGGATGACCAACACAAACTGTGCAGCAGCAGATGAGCTATCGTCTCTGACTTTACATCTACAAGGTGGACTGACAAGGTAGGAGTGTCTAATAGAGGGGTCCTTTTGGGGTATGTTGCCCTGAGGCAACATTGTGCAACAATGGGAAGAAACAATATAGAGCTGTGATCCCTGAAATGGTGAGATCTGGCTTGTGACTGGCTAAATCCATTCCCTGCCCTACAGTGTTGCTTCTAGGCAACAAACAAACATCTGCAAATTCTCACAACAAAAAATGATACTGGATGTTAAAAAAGAGGTTTCAAAGTGTCCACTAAGAGACAGTATGACCAAATACATGCTTTTTATTGACTTACTCTTCCCTTTTTTATTAACCCTGTCATTGTCATTAAATATGTAGAACGCTAGTGTAAAGTGAGGAAAATGGGTTTGTTGCCTAGAGGCAACGTCGTGCAATAGAGGGTTACAACAATAGATAAAGAGAACTCAATAAAAAAAAATATATATATATAGTTGCATCCATTTATTGAACAAAGTGATCCAAGATGAAATATCTTTGTTGGCAAAAGTATCTAAACCTCTGGAATGACCAGTGGGGATAATTAGGGTCAAGAGGTTCAAACTATCGGATGGACGGATTGAAGTGTGGCTGATCTTACCCCACACCCCATTTAAAAAACATCAAACTGAGTCTTCACCATCAAAGTCTGGTCTTTATCACACACGTCTGTTAATCTACGCCGTGTCTCGCTCATATGAGATTTCTAAGGACCTCTGAAAAACATCTGTCAATGCTCATTAGGCTGGAAGAGGATCCAAAACTATTTCTGAAGAGTTCGCACTTCACTGATCCACTGTCAAGTTGATAATGTACAAATTATTACCCCTCACTGGAGTGGTCATCCAACAACAATGACTTCAAGAGTACAGCCTACAATATTCAGGGAGATCACAAAGAGCTCCAGGGTAACATCCAAGAATCTGCAGGTCTCTCTTACAGTGGCTAAATATATATATTTGTTATGGCTTAAATGAGAAAAGTAGGGCAAAACTACATTCCAGCATAAGAACCTCATCCCAACTGTGAAACATGGCGGTGGCAGTATTAAGGTTTTTGGGCATTTTGGAATGGCAGAGTCAAAGTCCAGACCTTAATCTAGTAGAAATGTTGTGGCAGGACCTCAGACATGCCTTCACACAAGAAAGACCACCTGGCTACTAGCTAAGGTAACATCTTTCTGGTTTTGTAATATAATTTCTTGTGTTATTTGTTTTACGGGGTTCTCTTAATCTATTGTTACAATCTAAATGAAGATCTGACCTAATTTTAGGGCACATTTATGTGAACATTTGCATAATGCTAAAAGGTTCACAAACTTTCAAGCTGCACTGTGTGTATGTACACACACACATACATATATATGCATAGTATGCTTTGCCACACACACACACTATTGTAAAAGCGGCCCATTTATTGTCAGACGTGCCCTTAAGCGAGAGGCTGAGTTAATTAGACAGCAGAGTCTTCACATCTGCACACATTCACAAGCAATCAAACACTTATAGTAAGACATGCCCTCCAGGGAGCGCATCAATCACACACACACACACACACACACACACACACACACACACACACACACAGAATAATGTCAGCATGACAAAGAGTTCTCTAAGAGGGTGGGGCACAACAATGCTTTCCATAGGACACCAAACACACACACACACACACACACACACGTTTGTCTTACTATACATTTGAGGACGTCCACAAGTTTCCATTGATTTTTGTGTTACCGTAGCTAAATAATACTGCACCTAACCCTAACGTTAACCTCAGTATCCAAAAGGCCATTTTTCTTTAGTTTTCAAATAAAAAAAGTAATTGTGGTGAAAACAACACATTCATGTAGTCCTATTATAGTGAGGACATGGGGTCCTCACAAGTATAGCAATACAAGAACACACACACGTACATAAACAACACTTGTAGAGCGCTATTATCATATTATGTAATTGTTTTATTTGTTTTTCTGGATTTACATTGACCTTGTACTACTTAAGACAGTGATTCCAAACTTTTGGATAATAAAGCAATAAATAAAGCTTTATCTGTCCACTTCCTGTTTGAAGCTGAGCTCGGGCATCAGATCAATCTATCAATCGATCAACCTTTATTTAACCTCTGAGAACATTGAGAGTGACCCTCATTTACAGTGTTGCCGAGTTGTTACAGGGAAAAGGGACTGATGATGTGTAAGAACATAAATAATAAAAGTAGATTTAATAATAAAAACGACTCCGACCAGGCAAGTAAAATAAGAACTGAAACATTAATAATAAAATACATAAAAAACTGTAGAAAATATAAAAAAATTTTAAAACGCTAATCAAATCAAAAGAAGATAAATAAAACAAAAGGAGGACAAGATAAAAAAGGAAAGTAAAATTCATTAAAATGACTGAAATAATAAAAAATTAATCATAACTGAAAAAAGAATAAGAATATGAATATGAATAAATAAACAAATAAATAGAGTTCCAGCTGGCTGGTGCTCTGTAACTAAAGGCAGATTTTCCCAGTTCTGTAAAATAATAATCTGATAATTACCATTATTTATAAACATCACTGAAGTAATATATGCTGGCATACGGCCGGAGAGTGTTTTATAAATAAAAATAAAGCAGTGTGTTTCCCGCCGCGCTGCTGGTGAGGGCCAACCAACTTTTTCATACAGTCTACAGTGATGATCAATACACATCGCATTCCCTCTCCCTCCTTCTCTCCCTCCCTCACTCCATCTTTCCCTCCTTCTTTCTGGAAGCTTCTCGCTCGTTCTCCCTCTCTCTGTATGGTGGACTGATGGTGCAGGCTGAGGTTGGTGTGAGTAAGACACGGCCCCTCGCACCATTGATCCAGCTCTGATTTACCGAAGTGTGGAGCGCTGCGTTTCATCTCTGTAGACAC